TCTCCTTGGTAGTTCCTCAATTAGGTTGTTATTTACTGTGTGTTTGTCGGGTGTTAATCCCTGCTTCTCTGGGTGTTGATTGCTGGCTCTTAAGAACAATAACATACCTTTTCTACTTCTCTCGTGGGGGCTATTGCAGGTTCAAGAGTCCTTCCTGTTGGTCCCAGAACACTCTGAAGCACGGAGGGATCTGCTTTATCCCTCTCAGGAGCTGAGTTTTCAGAAAACACCCCAAGAGGGTCCATCTGAGAACTTAGCAGGTAATGGATGAGTCCTTCTGATACAATGGGAATTAACACGGTCTTTTTTCTTTTGTGAAAGTACTTTAACTCTTGTGAACGAATGACTTTTGTTTCTCCGTAATGTTCTTTGAACAATTTTTTATTTCAGTCTCAAAGAATAGACCATTCATAACTCCTGTGGGACCATCTTTCTTTTGTGGTGCAGAAACAGCGGTTGTGCTTCCAACTCCGGTAAGCTAAAACATAACTGAGGGTGAAGGTTCGTTCTCTGAGCTCGTGGGTTGGTTTCTGAACGTTCAGAGACTCCAAGGCACAATTCCAAACAGGATGAAACAGGAAGCACGACGATCAAACAAACAGCTAGAAAACCAACACATTGTTCCCAACAACACCTCCCTCTGTCTGCTGTGATAAATAGCCAGCTTTCTGGTGCAGCCCATCAAGACAGGCAGGGCCTTCTCCCGTGTAGTCTGGCTGACCTCCTTTGCTCCTGCCTTTTGTTTGCCCTGCGTGTTTTCAGATCAGATGCAGAAGGCAGTTCCTTCTCCTCTTCACTGGCGGTCTGCCACTGCAAGCTTTCCCCAGCTGAAAACTCCTCCAATTCTCAACTTGGTTCCTGATGTGCCAGGAATGAACTCATCCTTCCTTGAGCTGACCTCTGAGGAGGAATATGGGAAGTCATCCAAGGGAGACTGCAGCTGCTTCAGCTCTCTCTCTGTAAGATGAATATGTTAGTCCCTGAGGGATAACATAAACTATTGTTTAAAATATCAAACAGGGATCTCCCAATGTTTTGTTCAGCTGTGGTGGATAGTACACCCCTTCACTTGACCTGGAAGGATATAGGGTGTCTCCCTCCTGAACAGATTGTGACTCAGGGAGTGTGATGTCTGTCTATTTTCTCTGTCCAAGAAAAATTCATGTTTACTCCAAAATAAATTTTTGGATTAATCAATCAAAAGACACCTTGACAATCCTTCCTGGAGCTGTTTATTAACTGATAACACTTTCTTCCTGTTTCAGAATTCCCTGTCCTTTGATGATGTAGCTGTATTCTTCTCAGTGGAGGAATGGGATCTGCTAGATTTCAACCAAAAAATCCTGTACAACGACGTTATGCTGGAAAATGCCAGGAATGTGGCCTCCACAGGTAAAGGTTGATCTTTGTTCTGGCTTCGATTCAGTGGGAAATGTATTTTCTAGTAAAATTGGTACTTTATTAGGGGAAATGTTGACCTGTTATTATCGGTCAGAATAGAGCTGGAAGGGACCTTGGAGATCTTCTACTCCAACCCCCTGCTCAAGCAGGAGACCCTAGACCATTTCAGACAAGTGGCTGTCCAGACTCCTCTTAAAAACGTCAAGTGATGAATGTCTATACAGATTCTCAGTCATCCAGATTATGGTTGTCCCAAAGGTGCTTTTTCACAAGGCAACTGAGCTCTCTCTTTTTTTCTCTTTGAAAACATTTCATTTTTCATCCAAGTAGCTTCTTCAGCTCTAACTGGATGGTGGGGAATGGAAGGATTTATATTCCTTGCAGACAGCTGGTCGTTTGCATTCTTTTAGAGAGTCGTTGATGCCAGCTGTAGGTTTATCTGTGTCTTCAGGGTCACCTGAGCAGTCCAAATGGGTGTGGAGTTTTCATGGAACTGTTGAAAGGGCTGTGTTTATTTTATTTTATTTATTTATTAATTACATTTATATCCCGCCCTTCTCCTTGCGGACTCAGGGCGGCTGACAATTGGATAAAATACTAACATATTATACATATCATGCCTAATTAAAATTTGATTAAAAAGAAATATTTAAATATGTCAGATTAAAAGTAATTAAAACCCCTTTAAAATCCCTTAGGCCAGTCCCTCTAGCTGGAACAACCACGTCTTGAGGGCGCGGCGGAAGGAAGGGAGATCAGGGATCACCCTGATCTCTCGGGGCAGTTCGTTCCAGAGGGTGGGAGCTCCCACAGAGAAGGCCCTCCCCCTTGGGGTCGCCAGCCGGCACTGTCTGGCTGACGGCACCCTGAGGAGACCCACTCTGTGAGAGCGTACAGGTCGGNCCGATGCCATGGAGCGCTTTAAAGATAATAGTCAACACCTTGAAGCGCACCCGGAAGGCTACCGGCAGCCAATGCAGCTCGCGCAAAAGCGGCGTGACGTGGGAGCGACGAGTCCCTCCCAGCACCGCCCGCGCGGCCGCATTTTGAACTAGCTGGAGCCTCCGGGTGCTCCTCAAGGGGAGCCCCATGTAGAGAGCATGTTGTAGACTGGAGGTAGATGATTTGGTATCCTTCCCCCTCTATTGAGAGAAGACTGTTCAGTGTTGACATAGATGGCCTCTTTGACCCCTCTTTCAAACCAGCGGTCCTCTTTGTCCAAAATGTGGACTTTGCTGTTGTCAAAGGAGTGGTCTTCTATGTCACAATTGAACAGCCCTCTCTCAACAGAGGGGGAGGGATATGACATCATTATCTCCAGTCTACAACAGTCTTTTCAGCAGTTCCAAGAAGGCTCCACACCCATTTGCACTACTCAGGTGACCCTGACGACACAGATAAGCCTCCAGGTGGCCTCAACAACTCTCTAAAAGAATGCAAATGACCAGCTGTCTGCAAGGAGTATAAATCCTTCCATTTCCCCACCATCCGGTCAGAGCTGAAGCTTCTTGGATGAGAAGCGAAATGTCTTCAAAGAAAAAGAAAGAAAGTCCAGTTGCCTTGTGAAAAGCACCTTTGGGACTCAAGTGATGAAGCACCAACAATTTCTGAAGACAAAGTTGTTCCACTGGTTAATTGTCCTCACCGTTAGAAAGTTTCTACTTAATTCCAGGTTGCTGCTCTCCTTGATTAGTTTCCATTCATTGTTTATTCCCTAAAGGGAAGGAATTATTCTTAACTAGACAACTCTTTCCATTCACTCTGATAGCCAGGGCTAAAACCATCTTGCTGTTTTTAGAGAGAAGATCCTCCCATGCAGGGATATTTAGAAGCCCCAATAGGCCCACAGCATTGATAACAGAGACATAAAATTACTACTAATTGGGCCCTACTCACTACTTTGCTTGATTCTCAGGAGATAGTGTGACAACACACTTCTGTTTGCCTCAAGCCCTCTTTGTAATAGCTCCGGCCTACAGATCTCGTGAGACCTGAGGTAAAATAACATTCTAGGATCACAGAACTGCCTTCTCAACGGAATGCAACCTCATTCAAGCAGTTTGTACCTCTGTTCTCATGTTCCCTTTCCAGTTACAGGTAGTCCTTGGCTTACAACAGTTTGTTTAGTGACCGTTCAAAGTTAAAAACAGCAACTGAAAAGAGGGACTTATGACCATTTTCCTACACCTAGGACAGGGGTAAGCAACCTTGGCTCTTTTATGACTCGTGGACTTCAACTCCCAGAATTCCTGAGCCAGCATGGCTCAGCTTGGAAACCTCTCCCTTTCCCCTCAGCATGGCTGGCTGAGGAATTCTGGGAGTTGAAGTCCACGAGTCATAAAAGAGCCAAGGTTGCCTACCCCTGGTCTAGGCCATCTAACCACTGAAGCGCAGCATCGTTGATGTTAAAAAGGTCAGATACTGGATCGGTATCTGCCCTCAGCTTATAGCCTGTCCCAACGTGATCTACAGTTTGACATGGGACCCCGCAGTCACACTGAGGGGAGGATATTTAGAATTTAGAATAACAGAGTTGGAAGAGATCTTGGAGGTCTTCTAGTCCAAACCCCTGCTCAGGCAGGAAACCCTATACCAGTGGTGGCGAACCTATGGCACAGGTGCCAGAGGTGGCACTCAGAGCCCTCTCTGTGGGGACGTGCGCCATTGCCCCAGTCCTAGGCCTTCAGCTGGGTTTATAAAACCTTTTTGCTTTAGGCCTCCGCCACCCTGTGCAAAAAAAAAAGGTTCAATCAGTCAATTTCAACTTCTCATGGGGAAAAAAATATCTTGCAAAGTTGGAATTGATTAATTGAACTTTTTAGTCCCACCCAGTCTGCCATTACCATGGTAGCCACACCCACCCAATGGGCCACACCCACCCGGCACCCGACAATTCATAAGTGGGTTTTGGGTTGCAGTTTGGACACTCAGTCTCTAAAAGGTTCGCCATCACTGCCCTATACCATTTCAGACAAATGGTTGACTGCTAAATTTTGTCCTGATGGATTTGTTCTCTTATGTCATGCCATATGTTTATGAAGTAGTTGTTTTGTTTCCCCATTGTACAGATCTGCACATGGCTCACTGCATTGTACTGCATATACCACACTGCTCAGTTTGTGTCTGGGTGTTTTATCCTTGGGGTGGGCAAGCTTCTGCCTTAATGGATTCTTGCGTTTCAAGTGTGACTGAGAATCTCCATAGAGTTTAAAGGTGTAATACATATTTTTCTTTCTTTGTCCCAAGGAGTTGGTTGGCCAGAGAGTGGAAATTATAATCAAGCATCTGTGGAACATTCACAAACAGGCAGGAATTATATTGGAGAAGGGATGTTTGAAAATCCACGGGCACCAGAAAAATCTGAATGCAACCAATTAAACAAGAGAAGAGAAAAATCTTGTACTCCTCAGTGGGCAGAAATCCATTTTTTCCTTACCCAGCAAGGACTCAAAATAGAAAGAAAGTGCTTTGCCTGTGGAAAAACTACTAGAGAAAATTCAGATTTATGTGAGTATTGCAGAACGCACAATAAAGCAAAACAATATAAACTTGGGGAGCACGAACAAAATTACAATTGGTCCTTCCTTCAAACAACCCAAACTGGAGAAAAAATATATCCCTGCACGGAGTGCGGGAAAACCTTCCGTAAGAGCAGTAATCTTAATGCGCATAAAAGGATCCACACAGGCGAGAAACTGTATCAGTGCACGGAGTGTGGAAAGATGTTCAGGTGGAGCAGCGGGCTCACCTATCATAAGAGGATCCATTCGGGAGAGAAACCCTATAAATGCTTGGAGTGCGGAAAGAGCTTCAGTGGCCTGAGTTCCTTTACTTCCCATAAAAGGATGCATTCTGGGGAAAAACCCTATAAATGCACCGAGTGTGAAAAGAGCTACAGCAGTTTCAGTTCCTTCACTTCCCATAAAAGGATGCATTCTGGTGAGAAACCCTATAAATGTGCGGAGTGTGGGAAGTGCTTCAGTGGCTTGAGTTCCTTTACTTCCCATAAAAGGATCCACTCGGGGGAGAAGCCGTATAAGTGTATGGAGTGCGGGAAGAGCTTCACTATAAGTAGTCACCTGATTTCCCATAAAAGGATCCACTCAGGCGAGAAACCGTATCAATGCACGGAATGTGGGAAGAGCTTCACTTTAAGCAGCCATCTTACTTCCCATAAAAGGATCCACTCGGGGGAGAAACCATATAAATGTATTGATTGTGGAAGGAAGTTCAGGTGGAGCTGTCACCTGGCTTCCCATAAAAGGATGCACTCGGGAGAGAAACCATATACGTGCAAAGAGTGTGGAAAGAGTTTCATTGACCTGAGTTCCTTTACTTCTCATAAAAGGATCCACTCAGGTGAGAAACCATATCAATGCACGGAGTGTGGGAAGAATTTCAGGAGTACCACTAATCTTACTGAACACAAAAGGGTTCACTCGGGCGAAAAGCCATATAAATGCACAGAATGTGGGAAAAGCTTCAGATGGAGTAGTTGCCTTACATCCCATAAAAGGATCCACACGGGGGAGAAACCGTACAAATGCACCGAGTGTGGAAAGGACTTCCGGAAGAGCTGCTCTCTCACTACTCATAAAAGGATCCACACAGGGGAGAAACCGTACAAATGCTCGGAGTGTGGGAAGACTTTCACTATGAGTAGTAGCCTGACTTCCCATAAGAGAATTCACACAGATGAAAAACCGTATACGTGCATGGAATGTGGAAAGACTTTCCGCAAGAGTGATAACCTGACTTCCCATAAAAGAGTACATATGAAATATAAATCATGTTAACCCAAAGATGCTTTTTCACGAGGCAACGGGACTTTCTTGTTTTTCTTTGAAGATGTTTCGCTTTTCATCCAAGACGCTTCTTCAGCTCTGAACTGGATGGTGGGGAATGGAAGGATTTATACTCCTTGCAGACAGCTGGTCATTTGCATTCTTTTAGAAAGTCATTGAGGCCACTCCTGTCCTCAGGGTTACCTGAGTGGTGCAAATGGGTGTGGAGCCTTCTTGGAACTGTTGAAAGGATCACACCCATTTACACTACACAGATAAACCTCCACGTGGCCTCAATGACTCTCTAAAAGAATGCAAATGACCAGCTGTCTGCAAGGAGTATAAATCCTTCCATTCCCCTCCATCCAATCAGAGCTGAAGAAGCCATGGCAACTGGGCCACGGAATGGCTGGCGAGTTCACGCAGCATGCATGCATTCCCCATTCGTGCTAGTGCCGCCACGTAAGCACTAGCGGCCCTGTTTGCACAGGCCTGGGAATGCTAGCACCATCGCCAGCATCATGATGCTAGCAGCCTGCATGCGCATGGGCGCTAATTGCCTGTTCGCACAGGCACCATCGCCGCCACCAGCACTACCACGCTTGCGCTTGGCCCACTTGCGCAGGCACATGGGAGCTAGCACCGCTGCCTTGTGCGCGCCCATCTGTGCATGTGTGCACGCGCACACACATTTCCTTGCTCCTCCCTTTTCCTCCAGGCCGCCAACTCAGAAAGGTTGGGCAGCTCTGCTCTATGGTGCATCAACCCTTTTTTTATTTACTTAATTACCCAATGGGAAAATGTGAGTGATTTTTTTACGAATTGAGTATTGCAGAGTTTGCTGGGAGATACAGGTGACAGCAACTATAGATGGGAATGCTTTCTAACATTACAGCAGCACAGTATTTCTCTGCAATTTTAAGATATGTGGACTTCAGCTATCCCCAGCAAGCGCTATTAGCCAACCCTTCACCATGACTTTGGACCTACAGGAGTTTGAGTTATCCATGTTCGCATACAGGTAGTCCTCGACGTACGACCACAACTGAGCCCCAAATTTCTGTTGCTAAGCGAGACATTTGTGAAGCGTGCTTTGTTCCATTGCGTGAGCTTCCTTGCCACAGTTGCTAAGTGAATCACCGCAATTGTTCAGTTAGTCACCCGGTTGCTAAGTGAATCTGGCTTCCTCCGTTGACTTTGCTCGTCGGAAGGTCGCAAAAGGGGATCACATGACTCCGGGACACTGCAACCCATCATAAATACGAATCAGTTGCCTAGTGTCTGAATTTTGATCACATAATTGTGGGGATGCTGCAACAGTCTTAGGAATGAAAAAGTCATAAGTCCCTTTTTCCAGTGCCATTGTAACGTTGAATGGTCACTAAGTCAACTGTTGTAAGTTGAGGACCAGCTGTATTTGTTTGCCAGTACTTAAAACTTCTTTCCCTAAGGCCAAATAGGGCTTCTCATTCTTTCTTCCTTTCTCTGTCCAATTACAGATAGTCCTTGATTTATAATCAAAATTGAGCCCAAATTTTCCATTGCTAAATGAGACAGAATTTTGCCCTATTTTATGACCTTTCTTGCCACAGTTGTTAAGTTGAATCACGGCAGTTATTAAGATAGTAACCTGGTTGTTAAGTGAATCTGGCTTCCCCATTGACTTTGCTTGTCAGACGGTCACAAAAGGGGGTCACGTCACCTGGGACACCGCAACCGTCATGAACCAGTTGCCCAACATCTGATTTTTGATCCTGTGATCATGGGGATGGATGCTTCAGTGGTCGCAAGTGTGAAAAACAGAAGTCACTTTTTTTCAGCACTGTTGTTAACTTTGGTCACTGAATGAACTGTTGTAAGTTGAGGGTTATCTGTATCTTGTTGCTTGCTCCATCTCTTGCCCCATTCCTCCGTTTTTGCTGTTTCTATTGGGAGAATGGAATTGTGTGTCCTTGTACATTTCTGCATGGGAGATGGGGTTGAGTGTTGTATGCAGATGGCTCCACCCCCATTTGCACTACTCAGGTGACCCTGACGACACTGATAAGCCTCCAAGTGGCCTCAACGACTCTCTAAAAGAATGCAAATGACCAGCTGTCTGTGAGGAGTATAAATCCTTCCATTCCCCACCATCTAGTCAGAGCTGAAGAAGCTTCTTGGATGAGAAGCAAAATCTCTTCAAAGAAAAAAACAAGAAAGTCCAGTAGCCTCGTGAAAAAAAGCACCTTTGGGACATGCATTGTATAGAAAACACAAAGAAGCCTCTCACAAAATAGTAGGTTGCAGGGATTATCCAGGGATATTGAATAGAAAGAGAGTAAAATATAAAATATTTCTTCACATGGCCAATGCTGCTAAGAAAACTGCATGGATACAAGTGTGGCAGGATTCAGTTTTGAATGGATAAAATTGTTGACTTTAAGTGATGATTTACATAGTATTATCTGCCTGCTTATTTGCTCATTTGTGTTTGTTTTTGCTTGCGTACTAAGGAACAATCATAAAATTCTTACATATTAAGAAATGTCAGTGTGTTTTAGTGTTCGTAATCGAGTTCAAACAACTGCATCATAGCATCACATCATTTCCAAAAAGAAGAAACCCAGCATACGTATTCCAGCTTTCACTTTCACTTCACTGGATGGCTTTGGGATCTGTATCAAGAGCCAGAGGATAGGGAGAGTACAGCAATATTTGAGGGTGAAGGTTCGTTCTCTGAGCCTGTGGGTTGGTTTCTGAATGTTTCATTACCAGGCTAGGTAACAGTCTTCAGTGGAGTTTGGGGGATATAGAATAAAGAATAACAAGAGTTGGAAGGGAACTTGTAGGTCATCTAATCCAACCCCCCGCACAAGCAAGAGACCCTACACCATTTCTGACAGATGGCAGTCTAGTCTCTTGAAAGCTTCCAGTGATGAAACTCCCACAACTTCTGAAGGCTAGCTGTTCCATTGGTTGATTGTTCTCACTGTCGGGAAATTTCTCCTTAGTTCTAGGTTGCTTCTCTCCTTGATTAGTTTCCATCCATTACTTCTTGTCTTGCCCTTGGTTTTAGATTAGAGGAGATAGATAGAAAGGAAATATAACTGGATTCTGACACATACAATGTAAGAACTGCAACATCCACTATGTAGGACAAACAGGCAGAAGAGGCTGGCAGAACGCATCCCTGAACACCAACTGGCAGTCAAAAGGCATGATGAAAATTCTTTAATTTCACAACACAGAGACATATTTAACCATAGTTTCAAATGGGAAACTGACAATCCTAGACCAGGCTAAACCCAAAAATGCCAGGGAATTTCTAGAACAGGAGTCACCAACCTGTGGTCCGTGGCCCACTACTGGGCCGTGGGCTGTTGGCCACTGGGCCATGTAAGGGGCTGGCCAATGTATGCGAATGTGCGTGCTTGCCCCCTCCACTAGTGCTAGCGTTGCGGTGTCATGCGGGCACTAGCAATGCTGTAAGCATCGGGTGCACACGTAAAGGCACCTCCACCACCACCCCCAGGCCACCAACCCAGAAAGTTTGGGGACCCCTGTTCTAGAAGCCTGGCACTCTGATAGATCAGAGAAAAAGACTCCAGCACCTCTCCACCAGTAATCAGCACCCAGATCAGCAAAGATTAACTCCAAGGTCAACATCAGACCAACAATTAAGTAAGCAATACCCCAATCAAGAAACTGCCAAAGAGCCATTAGTAAACAGCCCAACCAAAGAATCCCTAAGACCGCTTCTGGGAAGCCATGATTATTAAGAAAATCTTTTATTCCTAGATTACTCTTTGCTCTATTCTTATCAAACTTGGTAAACTATAAACTGTGTTCTTGGGCCTGAGATTCTTACGAATGTTAATGGACAGGAATGCAAATCATATTTACAAAATTAGATAGGTTCTTAATGATTCAGCACACTCTTGAGAGTGAGAAACTTCATTGACATTTCCTGCAATAGCTTCCAACTTTCCTGAAGATGAAAAAGAGATTTCTGTAATGTCAGTTACTTTATTTGGTTGTTTGCTTTCCCCCTATTGGGGTGTGGGTTTTTGTGCCACCTGTAAACTTTTATTCCATTCTTTCTTCGGTATCTCTAAATACAGATGAAACTCAGAACTCAATTTTTAAATTGTTTTTCTGCTGTAAATTTTTCTATTGTATCTATCCGAGCATTTTTTCCCCTCTCGGGGACTTGTTTGCCTTCAGTTTTCATGGTTTTTCCCATCTTCTGAGGTTTTTTTTTTTATTTAAATTTTACTCCCCCCCAAAAAAATACAAAACTCCCAAAAAAAATTAAAGAAAAAAAAGCAAAGACACAAAACAAGCAAGACATTAAAAAAATGCATCAAAAAGAAACCCTATAACAGTGGTGGCGAACCTATGGCAGGCGTGCCAGAGGTGACACTCAGAGCCCTCTCTGTGAGCACGTGCTCTGTCTCCCCAGCCCCGCCTCCTCCCGTGGCCCCCTCCTCACCAGCATCCCCCTGGAGAGTCGCCCCAGGTGCAGACCGCACAGAGCAGTGCACGCAAGCACATGGCAGCGGGGCAGCAGGGACAAGACTCAAACCTCGGGCCCTGTCGCGTGCAGATGATGCTGCAGGGCGCAGGTGGAAGGTATGGCTGCCATGGCGCTGAAGGGCCACTGGGCAATCTGCAGCGGGCTGTGGAGGTGGCAGGTGACCCTGCGAGGTGGGGTGGGCAGGGCGGGGCTGGAGCGGGCGATGGTGGGGCGGGGGCGAGGGCGGGGTGGGTTTTGGTCACTCGGCTGTAAAAGGTTCGCCATCACTGCCCTATACACAATAGCAGCACTTAAACTTATATACCGCTTCACAGTGCTTTACAGCCCTCTCTAAAGCATTTACAGAGTCAGCATCATGCCCCCAACAATCTGGGTCCTCATTTTACCGACTTCGGAAGGATGGAAGGCTGAGTCAACCTTCAGGAGTTGAGACTCAAACTGCCAAACTGGAGGCAGCTGGCAGTCAGCAGAAAGAGCCTACAGTACTGCAT